GACATCCTTCTCCAGCGACTGCTCCCTCCTGACAATATGTCCAAAGTATGAGAGGTGAAGCTTAGCCATCCTGGCCTCCAAGGAGCACTCTGGCTGCGCTTCTTCCAAAACCACACCTAATATTGGCTATGAGTTTTCTGACACCACAGATTAATTAGGGATGTTTGCTTGCAACTGAAAAGAAAAGACTGGAATCCAAGTGGAAAATGACAGTGGGTCAACATGTACAATGTATGTAACATAGAGGTGAGTAGAAAAAGGTTGAGAGAGACAAATGACATGTAGCTTGTCTTGCAAGGACAGGGTATCCACTATCCTGAGTTTCATCTTCTAACATCTTGGTCTCGTAGAATTTTTACTGCCCTGGGATCACATTGGAGCCCTGGTGGTATAATGGGTTACTCATTGTGCAAATAATCAGATTGATAAAAACTGTGCTGGGATAATGAGGAACTTTGGATATTGAGCCTCCAGGGATAAGAGACTGAAAATAGTCTGCCTGTGATATCTCACATCAGAATCTTTCCCCTATAAGGCATTATAACAGATGATCCTCTTCCTAAAGATAACCATTTCTAACCAACCAGAAGTCTAGTGTTTCGCTGAGTTCCTCTGGCCTGACTGAGTATAGAACTTCTATCTTCTGTGTTCAGCACAGGTATCAGGCAGGTATCGTTCCACAGAGATGTCAGTGAGGTAACCTAAAACTCCTATTTACTATTTTTTCAGTGCAGGACTTTTTTATTTTATTTTATTTTTTACTAAAGATACAACTAAAGAATGGTGTATATGAAGAAAGTGCATGCAACAAATGCTGGAACTAAGTAACCTTTGGGAATCTTGCTCATCTGTAATTATCTTGCAAGGTTTCCTTATATCTTTACATGAGTATCTAAGAGTTGCTAATCAGCTAATGTCTTGCCCTGTTTCTATGATTGCAAGGTGATTTTCCTATTGAGCAATAATATTACAAACATGACTTTTATAAAATTCTCTGGAAATTTACTGATATTCTTTTGGTGATGGTGGAAAAGGGGTTGTCAGTTTCATCTTACAGACTAGTAACTACTCTATATTTATATTATCTCTAGTTTCTGCCTCTGGTATCTGGGAAAGAAGGTGGAAACTCAGACTGACCCTCAGAATTCCTCTAGAGTCTATTGCTATTGATAAAATTACTAAATATATTAGTCATAAAAACTCAGATACTATAATTTAAAAATGAACACCACCAGCTTTCTCCAGAATAAACAGATATTGGCAACAAGCTATATTAGCTTTAGTCATTGTTTCTATTTATAAATAGCCAAATAACATTCATTAAAATGGTCCCTTTTTTGTATTCCCTATGTTACTCTTCTTGCCTCCCTAAGAATGCATGCCTTCAGTGCTACTGTTGCTACTGCTAATATGGAAACCACACAATTGATTGTCTTGTCATCCATCTTTCAATCAGATTCCTCAATGATATAGAACCCAGAAACCAAACAGTTATTTCAGAATTCATTCTACTGGGAATGTCAGAGGATCGAGAACTGCAGCCCCTCATATTTAGCCTGTTTCTGATCATATACCTGGTCACTGTCATTGGGAACCTGCTCATTGTCTTGGCTGTCTGCTCTGATTCCTACCTGCACACCCCCATGTACTTTTTTCTCTCCAATCTGTCCTTTACTGATATCTGTTTAAGCACAACCACTATCCCAAAGATGCTGGTGAACATCCAGACACAGAATCAGAGCATCACATACAGAGGATGCCTCAACCAGATTTTCTTTGTCACAGTTTTTTGTGCCTTTGAAAATTTTCTTCTAGCACTAATGGCCTATGATCGCTATGCAGCCATTTGTCATCCACTGAGGTACACAGTCATCATGAACTTCTACTTCTGTGGCCTGCTGACTCTACTTTCCTTGTTCATAAGTATGGTGATTGCTCTGCTTCACAGTCTGATGATTTTACATCTGTCCTTCTGCACAGACCTGGAAATTCCTCAATTCTTCTGTGAACTTACTCAGGTCCTTAAAATTGCCTGTTCTAGTACCCTAATCAATACCATATTGATATACTTTGCAGCTTGCATATTTGGTGGTGTCCCTGTCTTTGGCATCATATTCTCTTACATTAGCATTATCTTCTCTGTTTTGAGAATATCATCAGCTGAAGGAAAGTATAAAGCTTTCTCCACTTGTGGGTCTCATCTTTCAGTTGTTTCATTATTCTATGGGGCAGCTTTAAGTGTATACTTCAGTTCAGCATTTTCAAATTCTCCAAAGAAGACAGCTGCAGCTTCAGTGATGTATATTGTGGTCCCTCAAATGATGAATCCTTTTATTTATAGTCTGAGGAATAAGGATATAAAGGTAAGCTTGAAAAAAATATTTAGTAGAATGCATTGTTTTTAGTGATTATGCCATTTCTTCCAATTAGTTAATTATTAAGACCTATAGGGTAGCTATCAGTTGGAACCGACTCCACGGCACATAACAAAAACAACAAATAACTGCTAAATGCTTTCTGCCCATCAGCATCAGAATCAACCACATTCAATCTCATTAAATGCAAAATGACATCATTGTATTTTCTCATTGATTTTAAATGGTTGTGAGATAAAATATCATCATCACCAAAGCCAATTGAGCTAATAACTAAGAGAATCTCAGACACTAATATGCTCAAGAATATAGGGAGCTATTAGAAGGAAGTTCAATAGAAGGACTACAGACATAAAGAGTCTACAGGAAAAGGACAATAGAGCATCATTTGCTATATGTAGTGGCTTTATCAATGGGCTCAAGTGTGGCAACAATTGTGAGGCTGACCCAGGACTGGGCAGTGTTTCTTTTTGTTTTACAAAGGGTCATTATGGATCGGTACTGACTCGATGGCACCTAATAACAACAACAGTGGCTTTATCCTAGGATTAATTCCCCTCATTGTTTCTAATTTCTATAACAGATGCTTAGGTAATACTACACATTATACCCAGAAAGAGAAAAGTTATACTCTTTCCTGGACTATGTTAATATAACTTTTGATTGAGTCATCATAAGTCATGCATCTTGTAGTGGGTTGCCCTCAAAATGAAAATTCCACAACCTAATATTTGAAGTTCTAATGTGGTTCTGTAGAATAAGCACTGGACTACTAACACAAGGTTGGTGGTTCAAATCCACCAGTTACTCCTTGGAAACACTATGAAGGGTCACTAGAAGTCAGTATCATCTCAACAGCAATGAACATTTGCCAAGAGTGAATATCACTGGTATATTATAGTATAAACATTAATTTTTTTGTACAAAGCATCTTTGTAGAGAAGAGTAAGCTTGGATTATCATGATAGAGTTACTTTAACCATATGTGTTCTCACAACAAAGACAGTGTAGAAGAGACAAATATATAACATGTCAGAGGGTATAATAGAAGAAATGTGGCCAAAGAATACTAGAAACCATCAAGCTACTCCTAATGCAGAAAAAAGCAAGAAATGCATTTTCCCAAGTTCTTAAAAGGTAATACACCCTTGCTCATGCCTTGGTTTCTGGCTTCTGTCTTTAAGAACTACGAGATAATAAATTTATCTTTGTAAACAAATAAACTTGTGATTTTTGTTTATGGTAGACAAAGGAAACTAATGTACTCTTTCATCACCAATAAAAATGGATCATATACCTCTTCTTAATATAAATCCCGTGAAGATTCAAAGCCTTAGAAACCCTATACATGGTTGATATCAGTAGGAACAGACTTGGCAGCACATAACAAAAATTTAACTCAAGATATGGGGTTAAAGGGTTACTTTCTTTTTGTTAGGTGCCATGAAGTCGGGACAGACTCACGGAGACCCTATGCACAACAGAACAAAACCTACTGCCCTGTCCTGGGCCAGCTTCACTATTGTTACTATGTCTGAGTCCATCACTGCTGCCATTGTGCCCATCCATCTCTCTAGGGGTTTTCCTTTTTTGCTCTGATCTTCCACTTTACCAAAATGATATCCTTCTCATGACCAATCACTCCTGATAATATGTCCAAAGTATGAGAGATTAAGTTTGATCATCCTATCTTTTGGAGCACTCTGGTTGTACTTCTTCCAACACAGATCTGTTTGTTCTTTTGGCAGCCCGTGGTACTTTTAATATTCTCCTCCAACGCCATAACTCAAACACATCAATTATTCTACAGTCTTCTTTATTCACTGCCCAGCATTTACACACATATGAGGCTATTGAAAATACCATGGCTTGAGTCAGGCAAACCTTAGTCCTCAAGCTGTCATTTTTGCTCTTCAACACTTTGAACAGGTCTTGTGCAGCCAATTTGCCTCATGCAACACGTCGTTTGATTTTTTTGACTGCTGCTTCCATGAGAGCTGATGGTTGATCCTAGCAAAAACAAGTCTTTGACAACTTGAATCTTTTCTCCATTTATATGGATGTTGCTTACTGGTACAGTGGTGAGGATTTTTATTTTCTTTACATAAAGATGCAAGTCATACTGAAGGTTGTGGTCTTTGATCTTTATCAGTAAATATTTTAAGTCTTCTTCACTTTCAGCAATCAATCTGAATATTACAGATTGTTTATGAGTCTTCCTCCAATCATGATGCCATGTTTCTTTTCATTTAATCCAGTTTCTTGGATTATAGGATCAGCATACAGATTGAATAAGTATAGTAAGAGATGTTGATATGATGCACCTTAAATTTCCTTTGAGAAGTCAATCGTAACCCCTAGAAACACTATAATATCTGACACATGGTAAGCACTAAATAAAACTCAACTACTATCATCATGTTCCATTTCTTGCCAATATTTATAAGTCATGTGATCCTTTTGCTCTTACATTTTTTTATACTTCCTGGAGTAATTGTATTTTCTTGACTTTAACAGTATTCATCAGCTTTTTCTGTCTTAGATATATAATCAAATGAATGAATATTAGATATTCATTCATTTATAGTAGAATTTGTAAATCTTTTCCTGGTACCTTATTTTGTTTGGTTTCTTCTAATTGATTTACTGAAAAGACTGGACATGTGCTTTGTTTTTTCCCTTTACTCACATTATGTTGCGTTACTTTTTACTCTTCTCTTTCAGGGTCCACACAGAGATACCTTGTTAGGTAAAATTAATTGAATTTCTGGTGTCTTTTAGCATTGCCTATAGTTTTAGGTTCTCATCCAAAACTTTTAAATGTTTCTTTAAGAGGAAAATAATTTTTCAATGAACAAAAGCTTTACTTTTAGAACATGTTTAGTGTAAACTAAGACAGGAGAAATGACCAATTGGTAAGATTAGGAAGATGATTTTCTCACAAATACAAAATAGCAAGACTGTAAGTCAGAATCGTCTACATAGATGGGGAGGTAAGAACAATAGGGGTTTCACAGGAGAAACAAGAAGTGCTGAGAGAGCCTTGTATTCTGTTCATCAAAGCAGATAGAGGTCTCACAGGTCATGTTCTGTTTAGCACCACTACAGGAAGACAGTCACCCAAGGTATATTCTAGTGCTGAGCTTCCACAGAACTCTTTCTGAGATAATACTTCTGAGACTCGTGTTCATATGAAAAATATCTGACCTTACCATATAATTACTACTTTAAAATTTCTAGGGAGACATCTATAGGATGATAGCATCTAACAAGCTCTTTTTGAGATCCTGATATACTGCAGTCTTTGAAGAATGGCTTTCATATTATTTTTGTTGTTAAGTCCCGTGAATCGGTTCCAACTCATAGCAACCCTGTATAGGGTTTCCAAGTAGTGGCTGGTTTGATCTGCCATCCTTTTGGTTCAAACCAACCCTGCGGTCCAGTGGTTTATCCCACAGCACCATACTGTTGTTGTTAAGTGCTATTGAGTCGGTTCCAACTCATATCAACGTTGTATAGTGTTTCCCAGGAGTGATTGGTGGGTTTGAATTGCCTGCTTTGAGGCTCAAACTGTCCTTGCAGTCCAGTGTATTATATTATAGAACCACACCAGGACTCCACAGGGCCACATTAGAAGACCATATATTTAGGATCTGAATTATGAAAGGCCTGTCCTCAGTATTACTAGTGAAGATGGCATATGCAAATTGATATATAAAATGTGTCTGTTGTTCTAAAGGAGTAGCAATATAGTGACAAAATATACATCTATCACCAGGTTTAGAAACAAAGCATTCTAATCACCATAGCAACCACTTGAAGAGTCAACCAATCACATCAGACACCTTTCTTCAGAGATAGTCACTAATTTGAATTCTGCATTTTCATTCCTTTAATGTTATATCATTAGGTGAAATCTATGCAATTGACAGGACTTGAGAATATTTATCCTACAAACTATGTCAATATCAAAGGCTTTAACTGCATCCTTTAATCACCATAGCATATATCTCACTATAGTGTATTGAATAAGGAGCTCTGGTAGCAAAGTGGTTACGAATCGGGTTGCTAATCTCACAGTCAGCAGTTCGAAACTACCAGCTCTTCCGCGGGAGAAAGATGAGGCTTCCTGCTCCCTAAAGATTTATAGCCTCAGAAACCCTGTACAGGGTTGCTATGAGTCGGAACCAACTCCATGGCACGTAACAACAATGTAATAAATAATTTAGTTCTTTTAGAACCTGCTTCAAGTATGAGTGTTTTTCATTATTTATTGTGATAAATATATATGATAAAAATTACAATTGTAAACATTCTAAAGGTTACAATTCAAAGGCATTAAGTACATTCATGTTGTTGCATAGCCTTTACCTGTAACTGGCTTCAGGAATTTTCAATGTCTCAACTCAAAAAAAACCACACCTAGTGATCAGTCATTCCCCTATCCTTTCTCTTTCCAGTCCATAAAACAAATTATGTGATTTCTACCTCTACTGATTTGCCTAATCTAATATTTTTTATAAATAAAATTTTACAAAATATGAGCTTTTGTTTCTGGCTTATTTTACTTTGCATAATATTTCAAGGCTCATTTATATTATAGCATGTATCAGGATCAGGACTTCCTTCTTTAGTACAGCAATATACAATTACATAATTTTACCACACTTCATTTATCCATTCTTCTATTTATAGGAATTTGAGATGTTTTCATTTTTTACCTATTCTGAGTGATACTGTATTAAATAATTGCATAGAAATTTTGGGGTGCATATCAGTATTCTTATCTATTGGGTATATAGCTATGAGTGAAATGCTGTATCAAGTGGTATTTCTATGTCTAACTGGAAAGTTGTCAAAATTATTTTTCAAAATTGTACACGTCCACATTCCCTCGGCACTGTATGAGGTTTCCTTTCTTTTACAATCTTACTAGCACTTTTTACTTTCAATTATTATTATTAATATACGTTTATATTAATTAATATAACATAAACTGTTTAGATTACGTAGAGGAGCTCTGGTAGCAT